AATCTTGGAACTCATTTTGATGCTAATGCGTCAAAACAGGTTATTTAGGAGCAAGTCTTTCAGCTTTTAGCTGCGCAAAGATCCTCTCAAACTTACAAGACTACTTTTTCTTAAATAAACTACTTATGCCTAGAAAAACTTAAAAGTTGACCACTTTATCACGTTACCACCGTTACTCATCAAACTATCATACACAGCAATACTCAAGCATTGTGTCCAACAATGACCAGGCTGGAATCTGCTTACGAATGAACTGTAACTCCATGAAATTCAGCTTCACAACAGCACATAAACACAGCAGAAAAAGCGAAAAAAATGCAGCTGACAAGCTGTAAATCCAGAAAATTCTGCCAAAACCAAACTTCTCTACAAAACACTGCACAAACAACAAAAAAGGTGCAGTATTCAAGCTGCAGCAAAAACAGATATCAAAGGACACTAATCACATATCGAAATCCCACATGCTTCGGTATCCAACAATCCTGCGATTATATAACAAAAGTGTCGTTATTTATCAATAGATAGAAAACAAATAACTAGTCGAAATCTTATACTAGCAGAAATCATAAACCAAAAAATAAAAAAGGTAAAAGCACTCATCTCCATGACTGTTCTCTTTTTGGATTTCTTACATAATTTTTCTCAAACCCATTTTTCCAATTGGTATTTGAAGCATTACCCTGGCCATTTCTAATATAATTCCTCTGCAACAATTAGAAATGACATAAGTTAATTAACAGTCACTACAACTCAATTGACAAAGTTGGCACAAAAACGATTCCAAAAATCTGTTTTTGTTGGAAAAGCTGACAAAAGATAAAATAGACAACTTACAAATGGCGTATTGGTTCAATTGCTCTGTTATACAGCTAAGCCACATTTCTACGCTACAATGGATCAAAATTGATCCATAGACATGGTTTTACAATTAGGTTTCAAAAATTAAGATTCAAAACCAATCTAAATTTTAAAATAGACTCCAAGAGAAGAAAGAATGCATGCCACTGCCATGAGTGGTAATGATAACAAATTCCCATTTAATGCATGGTAAAGAAAAAATTATAGTGACCAAGACTGAATTCCTCTCAATAAAATATATTATAGGGACATCAAAAGAAACATGAGTTTTAGCATTAACATCTTTTCAACTTGTCTACTGAACAATTAGATTCAAAGTCAACATAAATTCAATTGACAGAGGACTTATCCGTATTAAGAGACTCACGCTTTTCTGGCGAAGAGCCGCGACGGAGGTAACAGCAAAATTTTGGAGAATCCACGGCGGTCACTCTGTTCACTTTTCTCTTTTGGCTCCTCAGTCAGATTTTAGAAGCTTTTGAAACGACAGGTTCGGACTCTCTATGGTTTCAGTGGTTAGGGTTAGGGTTTGGTTTGTCGGCGGGGAGAAGAAGAAGAAAAATGAAAAGCGGAGAAGAAGAACAAGAAATAGAAAATTGAAAAATGGCGAAATTGTAAAATTTGAGAGGGAATTTGATTTGGAAATTTTTTTTTTTTTTCTTAAGGCATTAAGTAACGTGGCCCACATGCTATAGACGTGACATGCCATGTGGCGTACCACGTCCGTTTGTACAAAACCTTTGTACAAATAGCATACTGTTTATGTATTAGATTTGTCATTTTCGAGTAATGCTATGGGTACTAACGGATTTTACTAACCAATGTACTAACTTAAAGCATTGTACCGGTACTATACGTATAGTACGGATACTATGTGTGATTTTAACAAAGATTAGCACACTGATTAATACAATTTGTTAGTACCCAAAGTATTATTCTTTGTTTTCATTTTTCTTCATTGAGTCTTGTGTAACATGTTTTGTTTACCATTTTCAATTTTTTAAGAATAATATTGTGCGTACTAACGGATTTTATTAACCAATGTGCTAATCTTTGTTAAAATCACACATAGTATCCGTACTATGCACATGGTACCCGTACTATACACATGGTACCCGTACTATACTTTAAATTAGTACACCAGTTTGTAAAATCTATTAGTACCCATAACATTACCCATTTTTTAAACCCAACAGTTACATATCAAGCAATGGAGAGAGATTAACTCGGAAAGAAGAGACAAACGCAATTTGGATTTTTTTGTCATTTTATTCATAGTTAGTCACTTCTTTCCTGGGATTTCTGAAAATTATTATACAATTCTATTCAAAGAAAATCATGTTTGATAACACCGTCCAAATTATTCCACGGCGTGATGGCGGTGCCTGGTGAGCTTAACATATGCGATCTGGTGTTGGGTTGCTGGCCCATCATTTATGGTCTTTGACAAAATAAGGAACATGCTGCTACACACCCTCACACCAATTTAACGCAGCCGTTTTGACTCACTCTGAGACTGAGTACGACCCAGGTTTTCAAGGCTCAGGCTTCCAAGTTTTCACACAGGATACTTACCAATCTGATGGGTGCGTTTCTTTCCCAATTTTTTTCCATCCTATCCAAAATACACGTTTATCTCTTTATTCTAAAAATACTATTCTAAATTTTATGGTGGGTTTGTTTCCCAATTTTTCCCCTATCTTATCTAAAATACACATTTGTTTCCCTATTCTTAAAATATTATTTTATTTTATTTAATAATTTACTAAACATCCCCAAAATAAAGTTTAAAAATTAAAAAAAATACCCTCACCAACCCACATTTACCAGATTCTGACCACTACCATCAAAAAATGACCAAAATCTGATATAATACTATTGACTGAATCTAACCCATAGTGTGTCGATCTATCCTTTTTTTGACCAGATCTACAACCAAGTATCTGGCTGTTGACGACCAAATCTTTAACCCTAACTAATCATCAATGACGATCATATCTTTGACCATCGTTGACGACCATATCTGACCGTCAATGACCAGATCTAACCTAAGATCTGACATTTTCTGACCAGATCCATTAAGAAAAGGTCATATCAACATGCGACCGACCACATCCAACCACTCGTGCATTAATACAACAACTCTGACCACTCTCCGACAGTGATGACCAACTATCAGTATTTAATAGGTGAATAGAAGTATTTTTGTTAATTTTTAATATTTTTTTACAAGGGTGTACAATAAATTAACAAACCTAAAATAGTGTTTTTATTAATTTTCAAATCCTAACTCATAATAAACAAATCAATTTTACTTTTTTTTCAAAATATTATTATAAAAAATATCAAGAATAATAAACCAAACTCCTATATCACTATTTAACCATTGATCCGTGTGATAAAATTTTAATATGATTTTAACCCATAACAGGACCCTAAAACTAAGATAGCATACAGAGCTAAAAAGAAAGCTAGACTTACTATGTTCATCATCTAGGGGAGTACTATAGGGAAATGAATGATCGAGGATCGCGCATGCGGATGGGTTCTTTTTCATTATTTTTGAAGTATATATTATCAATTGAGGATTCACGTCAAAAGATCCTTTTTCGAGAGAAACAGGGAGTCACAAACACCAACAAAGGGCAATCAGTCTAATGACACTCCACAGAGTATGCTTAAAATAGTTTTCTGACAAAAATATAAATAAAAATCTGTAATCACAAGAAATATACAAACTCGCAAAATGACTTCAACGCCGCTAGAATAAGAAAATTAAGCTCACACTGGATTTCACTAAACTTCCAATCGGAAAGAAAAGAACAGAATCTAGGAGTCAAATATTTGCCAAGTCCTTGTAAATTAATTAGCTGCATGATCAGAAGAAGGCACTACCAAAGCTTGCAAGATTGATTAACAAACAAGCAGAAACAATGTAAACACTGCAAAATGTGAACTTCAGGAGAAAAAGTAAGAACACTTCCAATAATATTTGTGGGCCATTGGAAAGGGAACATCTACTTCACACAAACTTTAAATCAAAATATTTCTCTAAAAGCATCCCTGAAAGCAGAATCTTATGCACGGCAAATCAGTTCAAAAGTTTCAAAATGACCAATTGTAGCTCAAGCCCATACCCAAATACTAACACCACATAGACACACAAACTGCTCGTGAGAATGTAGAAACAAGTGAAATCTTATTAGCAGAGATAACTTTATCTGAAATTTGAATCATTGATTTCAACTACTAAGGCACAAGTACCATATGTTAGTTGCCCATAAATAGTGCAATGACAATTTTACATTCAGTAAGAATTTCTAATCCCACCATAAGATTTCAACAACTCCAATTTTGACATGTGATCTATCAAAAATACATTAGAAAATTATCAAACGAATGGTGTAAACATGGTAACATAAAGAAATGCATCCACCCTACCGATGCCATTGTTATGATATAAGATGGGTCTACACATGAACTACCACCATTAGCCCCCAAAAGGCATACCCAAGTAGGACAAAAGAGCTTAATAAAGCATCTGTGTGACTACTAAAACAGGCCAGCAATAAAGTGAACTCATATCTCAACAATGATAACAACCACCTAACTAAAAAGACTCAACCTCCAACACCGTTAAACTAAGATAATCTGAAATATATAAAACAGGATCTCATAGCCTTGTATTGTGTTCATATACACACTCCGCAAGTCAGGACCTGAACTATACTTTGGCTTTTGCAACCAAATCAAATGAGCTACAAGGAGAAATTGTTATTACATGGATTCAAAACCACTTACCAACATTGAGGTATATCTAAGGTAACCAAGAGATTCTAACCAATAGTACTTGATGAAAATACTTCCCCTCTTTTCTCTTAGATGGTATTGAGTTATGTTACGACAAAGACAAATTTGCAGAGAGTCTAGCTGTAAGTAACAAGCCACCTTCTACTCTAAAGTCTTGTCACCGTTCCATTGGAATATTGGAAAACTAATTTAAAAATCAAAATTTGCCTTAAAAACATGAAAAGTAATTCCCAAATACGAATCAGTGCATAAGCAACAATAATAATTAAAACTAACTTCTTAATTAACAATCGAACATAAAATCCATAAGAAAATCTCAAAAGCATGAAACATAGTTGAAAAAACCTTAATAAAAATAAACCGTCAAAATCTCAATAGGCTGAGACATACTAATTCTTTAAAGTAAAACAAAAAAGAAGCAACATAAACCTTCTCTCTCTCTTGTGTATCTTCTTCAACGGTAAGATTTCTGGAACCTAGCTCTGGCACCACGTCCTCCAAACTTCTTAGGCTCACAGCGCCTTGGATCAGCAACAAGCAAAGTCCTATCATACCTAACCAGAATGTCCTTAATCTCCTTTTTGCTCTGTTCGTCCACGAACTTCTGGTAAAACGCTACCAGTGCCTTTGCGATGCTCTGACGGATGGCGTAGATCTGAGAAGTGTGTCCTCCGCCTTTCACTCGGATACGCATGTCAACTCCCGCGAAACGGTGTCGTCCAAGCAAGAGGATCGGCTCGTACGCCTTGAAACGGAGGATCTCTGGCTCCACCAACTCGATAGGGCAGCCGTTAATCTTGATCAAGCCGCGCCCGCGCTTGCAGTAGGTCACGGCGACGGCCGTCTTCTTGCGGCCGAAACATTGTACGGACTCGACTTGAGCAGGAGCTGAAACGGGAGTAGCCATGTTTGGTCAAGTGGGTGTGTGTGCTTGATGTGTCTTGAAACCCTAGTAGCAGACTATGTATGATATAACAGTCAGGAGGTATGACATTAGGGTTTTTAGATGGACGGCTGTGATTGCTTTCTTAAATATGCTTCACTACAATGACACGTGTAAACCCTTTTTTTTTTTTTTTTTCTTTTACATAGCATTAAGCATTTCGCCATTTCCTTAAAAATTAGACATAAGATAAAATTTTAATTAAAATATTATATTAAAATGCGCACTTAAAATATTCAGGGTAGAGAATACTATTTTAGAGCATATACTTTATGGATTAATTAAGTTTAAAAAACTGATAATATATTATTTGATTTTTTTTTTTTTTAATTGAAACTTAGTTGTTATAATAATACCTTTCACTTAGAAAATTAGCCCAAGTCTAGGCCCTGCCAAAACCAATGTTGGTTTTCAAAGGGTAAACCACTTTTTCCCAATGTTCTTAAAACTTGACCGGACTGACTGGTCGGACTGATCTGACCATCGACTGACATCCTTTTCGGCCCAAATTTCCAATTTCACTATTCACCCAAATCCCGAATCTTACCGTCGGTGAACGAAGGGTTACCAAGTGTCGGGGTTATAGGGGTTTTGTAGAGTAAAGGCTGATGGTTCAAGGGGTGGTGTCAACTTTAATTTTGGACACCGAAATCAGTTGGAATTTGGTCAAAAAAATTGACCCAATACCCAAGTCATGGCTAGCGAACAGGAAGCTATCAAGCGTCGGGGTTAGATGGGTTTTGTATAGTGAAGGTCGGTGGTTTAGGTAGTGGTGTTAGATAGAATTTTTTACGTCCAAATTTGGCTGGAAAAATCAACCTAATCGATGCGGTGTTCGCGAGTCACGGCCAGAGAATGGGGACCTACCAAGTTTTGGGGTTAAAGGGGTTTTGTAGAGTAGAGGATAATGGTTCAGGTGATTGTGTCGGATTGAATTTTGGCCGTCAGAATCAACCAAAACTTGGTTGGAAAAGTCAAAAACCAAACAAATCATAGGGGTGTATTTGCTGGATTTCAAATCAATAATGACTGAAACGTATTTTTAGGGGTATTTTTGCAAGATTTCAAACTTTTTGGACCACCAAAAACCACCGGTTTGACCAGTCAAACTGTAACCAGGCCCTTGATTGGATCAAGGCCCAGTCTGGTTTTCAAAACATTACTTTTTCCCACCCAAGGTTTGCCTTAATGACACTTTCCCACCCAAAGTTATATTTCGTTAATATACAAAATACACTTTACTTTCTCAGCCGGTGTTCGACGAGTTACTAAGAGCTAGAGTAAGAGGGGTTTTGTAGAGTAAGAGGGGTTTTGTAGAGTGAAGGACGGCAGATCTAATGTTGGTAACCGATTGAATATTCGCTGTTGGAATCAGCTGAAAACCAGCTAAAAAAAGGAAACTCTAACTTTGTGATGGCCAACAATCAGCGAAAAATCAAGTGTCGTTGTAGAGATGAGACCGGAGGTTCAAATGGTGGTGACAGACAAAATTTTTGCCATCGAAATTGACTTTAGATAGTAACGGAATATTAACTTTGGGTGAAAAAATTGTATTTTGAAACTTTTTTGGTGGGAATGGTCATTAAAGCAAACTTTGGTTGGGAAAAAGTCGTTTATTCATTTTTAAACTGTCAATCTACCTAGACTTTAGGTTCGCGTTTAAATTTACACTATTATAAATAATGTATATAAAATTCAATTATACAATAATTAATTATATTCTTCATTTCAATTTGTGTTTTTAATTCAGTAAAATATCACATATTGAAAATAAACCACATCACTTATATTTGCATACCCTTATTATTATTATTATTATTATTATTATTATTATTATTATTATCATCATCATCTTTGAGTCATTTCTTTTCCTTATAAAGTTTTTTTTTTTTTTTTTTTTATGTGACCACGGGTGTTCGGGCCAACTTGCGTGTACCTCAATTAATCTTTCAAGACCCTGAAGTGAACAACTGGGTAAATCCCCTTAGTGACCACCCTATTAGTGCCTAGGAGGACTCGAACTGAAGAACTCATGTTGGACCTCTTTACTCTTTTACCATTTGGTCACCTAGTGGTAGTTTCCTTAAGGTCTACTTGAGAGTCTTATGATAGCGGTTATGAGGGTAAACCACTGCAGTAGTTTTGAGGGGTTTTTAAAACACCCAACCTACGCTTGGGAGTTTATTTTTCAGCGGCTCTATAGTTTTTTTAAAATGATAAATTTACATATATACCCATAAAAATACCCCAACTTCAACCAATACTTGGAAGTATTTTTTTTCCAATTACCAGTACTTAGTATCAAAGTTCCTTCCAAGTTTACTTACTCTCCAACCTTCGTGTAATTAATTCAAATGCATTCATCTTTTGCCTTATTTATCGATGATTAGAATGATTCTTGATTATGGAAGTTTAACTTCAATTTCATATGTCTTTGCACAGATACTTTGTGGTAGCATTATCGATTGCTCTATTTACGGAAAGTTCTGTCAACATGTAGGAAGCGCGTTCGCAATCGCATTGGTTGCTTCCATTCTGCTTATTCTGCTTTCTATGCTGTCTACAACAGCCTCCTTTACAAATGGGTTTGTGATTAGAGATATTAGCTATCCAAGTTCTACCTCCACTCATGCCACTGTTGCAGTTTGTGTGTTAATTTAATTATATGTTCTATGTATTTATGTATGTCCAGGGTTCATTGAAAGGTATTTAATTTATTTGTATGTTCTTTCATTGTATGTTATTTAATTTATTTGTAAGTTTTCACTAAAATATATAATTTAGTTGATGACATTTGTTATGCTGGCACTATTAGCATACTTGGTAATTAGACTTCCATTCAACGACTAGATTTACTGAAAATATATGCAAAAGAAGCCGAGTTCACATAAAGTAATTGTTATAAAACTATGCTCTTCTAGAACCAAGATCAAATCATATGACTTCTTTCCTTGTGTTATTAAACTTGCCAATTTGTGATGTAGGAGAGTGTAAGGGAAACAATACACAACCAAGATCATTCATTTAGATATAAGGAACGAGATGATTTAAACTGAGGAAGGTAAAACTATTTCAACACAATCATTGAGGCAATAGTACCATTAACTACAATCTCTGCAATAAATCTGCAAGTGAATCTATCACTTTGGCAGGTTGAAAAGCATGGTCATAAAAAGAGGGTCCCAATAAGAACTTACAAGTTCATTCCCTACATGACAAGGTTGCCCTCAAGTCTTGAAGCAAAACCCTGGGTACTGGCTGCCCAAGACTCTTACCTTTGTCCAGATGGTGACCATATACATTGCAATTGAAGTTTTTTATGTCCACTGCCAATTTTTAAACTGGAGACTCTGTACTCTAAGTCTGACTTAGCAAAACTCTTCAAATAAGCCTCCTGTAATTGATAATTTAAATTTTCATCTAAAATTCAATTAATTGGACTTCACTTTTTTTTTTTTTTTTTTTTTTTTTTTGGGGGGGGGGGGGACAATCAATTGTCTAATAATTAAAAACCAAACTTTAAATAAAAGAGGAGCCAATATTTATACTAAAACAGAAATTAAAATCTATTTTCTCACTATTATCAAATGTATTTAAGGAATAAATGTGTTATTCCTACACTTACACATATCAATTAGTAGAACCCCAAAATTTATAATAAATTCTGTACACATTTAGCCAATATTTGCACTAAAATGGAAATTAAAATTTGTATAATAATGTTCAGACATTAGTTTTCAATCTCAAATGATAGTCACAATATCTCAAATGTGATTAATTTTACCACTAGAATAGTAACAAATTGAAAACCTAATTAAAAAGAGTAACATTTTGCAAATCAATTAAGAAGAACAAATTATCCTTCCCTTATTTAAGTGTGACAGATATGCCTTTAAACCCAAACAAAAAATGAGAGAAAAAGAGAGAAACAAACCTTGTAGAGAATTGAAGAAGTTGGAGAATGAAGAATCAAATGAAAAGAGGTCAGTCTTTTTCTTTGTCCTCTGTTTTGTGCCTTTTTTTATCAGCAAAGTGATTATTGTGTATCAGGAGATAATTTTGTAGTGAAAAAGAGTTTTTTGGGATAAAATTTGAAAACCAGCCAAAACACTCCGATTTGGGGTGTTTTATAAACCCCTCGAAAATACACTGCACTGGTTTTGGAGGTTTTTTAAGCCAGTCAAAACCAGTGCATAAAAAAATTGGCAAGTAATGGGTTTAGAACATTATAATTTTTGTTCCATGATAAATAAAATCTACATAAAATCTATGATGTCACATTTTTTCTTATGATATATTTTTGCATGTAATGTTTGTTTTGCTCAAGCATATTATGTTAATGTTTTTTTTTTTCTCAAATATATTAAGCTGTAAATATTTGAGGAAATTAATATAACAATAATATTATGCTTAAAAAAGTTGATAAGCATTTTTTAATAAAATAATTATTACATTTTTACATTAAACTACTATTCTGATTATCATATGGCAAAGAATATTATTAATGAAAGGTTACTCCATATTCTTCTTTGTCAATGACCGGTAGCTTTAAAGTTGTGTTTGGTTAGGGGTCTAGGAAGATTACTTCGGCAATATTTCTTTAATTTTCAAGATTCTTTTGTTTGGTTTTCAAATAATAAAATATTTCGATAATCTTTTAATACAAATAATGTTTATTGTTGATAAAATAGGTAGTAATCAGATTACCACCTCAGGGAGTGTTATTAAAAGATTACCAGTGTAATATGAACTTTATACATATTTTGCCCTTAATTAAATATCATTTCGGACACATTTGTCCTCAAATGTCTATCAAATAACAATTAGCCAAACTGTACAAAATGACTTCTATGACCTCGTAAATTTTTTTGACAGAAATACCTCTCATTTTACATAAAATTAATCTTAATTTTGTTACAATTTACTCCTAAGAAACAAATTTTTGGACAATAATGCCCTTAATCTGAAAATTATTTACATAAAACCCTAGCCACCCAAGACGATTGCCGATCATCGCTAGAATGGCTCATGACCTGCTAGAACTGGCCAGTCGTGTGCCGATCCGATGTTCTCAGCCAGTGGCCGTTGAAAACGGCCAGATCCACGACCGTTAATAGCCATAGATCGATCGTTAATGGTCATGCATATGGCCAGAAATGGCCGATTTGTGGCTATTAATGGCCGTGGATCTAGCCGATTTGTGGCTATTAACGGCCGTGGATTTGGCCGGAAACCATCAGAATAGATCTAGTAATTTTTTACAGCCATCTAGCCATTTACAACCAGATCCGACTAGTCGTGTACCCTCTGGCACTAACGACAACAACCAACACTCATCTAGGGTGGCTAGGGTTATTTTGTCAAATTTTAAACTTTTTTTGTGGCTAGAGTGTTTTAGCTAGATTATCAAATATAGGCGGTTAAAGTAATTATAATAATATTAAAAAGAAGGGCAATTCAGTAAAAGTCCCTCCCATAATTTTTTTATTCATCTTAACCAAACATATTAATTATTTATACCTAACAATCTAACCAAACGTATATCACATAAGATTCCCAATAATTTTTCAGGTAATCCATCTCATTAATAATCTTATTATTTTACTAATAAAACATTCTTGAAACCAAATGCAGCCTAAAGGCGTGTTTGGTTTGGGTAAATGTCATAAAACTTTTTTAATATCATCTTATATTACGGGTGTGTAAAAATACCCACTACCCGAACCAATCATGCTAACCAAACTGAGCCGAACCGAATTTTTGGGTACCAGAAAATTCGGGTCAGATTCAAATAGTAGTTCATGAGATACCCGAATTCTCGGTTTGAATATCGGGTTATATTGAATAATTAAGCCGGGTACCCGGTTTAATTAAAAAATAATAATAAATTTAAAACATTCAAACAAAACTATTAAACTAAAACACGATTCTTTTCTTTCTTTGACTCATTACAAAAGCCCCAAAATCACTTTGACCTAAATCTTTAATTTCTCCGGTTCACCACTCCACTCAAGTTCGCATTTCTTCTTCAATTCTTCACTGGCGTCCGTCGTTCTCGTTCCAGCCGGCATCCGGTCGTCGTCAGTCCTCTATCCTCAAACACTCACAACAGCCGGCAGCCACGCGTTGATGTCGTCAGTCCTCTGTCCTTAAGGTATGTCAGTCTTATTCTCTGTTCTATTATCTGTTTATTCTCGGTTGGACGGCTGCTTATTGCTTAGTTGAGTTCGTCTTTAATCTTTATTAAATAATTTAAAGCTCAGTTTGATTAAGCTGTTCAAAGGGGTTTTGTGCCTTCTCTGACTCCTATTTGGAAGCTTATAGATAGTGTGGTGGTAAGAAGCTAGCTACGGTTTTGGTTTATGAATGTTGATTAATTTTTTTCTATTTTTTTATTTTTGGGTTCCTTTATCATGTATTGAATGTGCTTACTGCTTACAGGCTGAATTTTTTTTGGACTCAGTTTGGTTTATTAATTTTTTTGCAATGGGAAATCTAGTGTTTATCTATTAATTAATGATGAAGCACTTTTAATTTGGTTAACGCCTTACCGTACCCAGAGTTGAATTTGTGAGTTTATCAATTTGGTTTACACAAATCTGGTTTGATTTACAGACTGATGAAGCACTTTTAATTTAGTTTATACCTTACCCAGAATTGAATTTGTGTGAGTTTTTAAGTTACTTTTAGGAAGTACTTTCATTCATAAGCACTTATTAGGCTATTTGACTAGTAAATTGCCTCAGAAAATGTTATTTAGTAACATATAATATATAATTAATATGATAATATCATTAATTGTGGCTATTTGTGCATTAAATTATTTGTAATGGATTGATTTGATTTGGGGGTCCAAATTCCAATTGTTAATGTGTCGATTTTGAGTTTAAACCAGAATTATCAAACTAACTTTATGGTTATTCTTTATAATATCTTATCCTTTCAGAACAACTATTTTATAAGAGGTAGAAGACGTTATCTCAAGTTTTGAGAATCATCAAGGCGTTTATCATGCCAAAGAATCCCCTTCCACTCCAGACACTTTCTCACTACATCTCTGCAGAGTTCCTTTCCAGTGAAGAAAGCCAGATTAAGCGCTCAATTTATATTCTGTGCCTTTGTTTCCTGTTTATTTTGGCTCTAGTCATACGACATCAAGGTGATTGCCAAGTAATAAACACCTTTGAGGGGTTTAATGTCTTCGTGGTTTGCATCATGTTATCAGTCACCGGAGTATATTGTGTGTTGCTGATCAGAAACCAGCCCGAGCTTGCAGTTCTCCAGAGATGTTATTTCATGCTGTCCGTTGTTTCAATGGCATTAGCTTTATCAATATTGGGATATGCCTTGTTTCTGGAAAGTTTCAGGTGGGTTTATGGATGACTAAATTGTGGCAAGATGAATATCTCAGCTTTTCAAATTTGATGGAAAAGGTAAGCAAAAAGAAATTTATCAGCCAAAGATTTCTCTTATGTTGCTTTTTGACTGTCAAATTTGATAAACATAAAACTCGGCTATTTTTCTTGTGTTTTAGAATAGAGTAACTCTAAATTAGATCCAAAATATGTTATTTATATGGGTTTCGAGTTTGTTTCAAGATTGTTTGTATGTTATTTGCTGATTATGACCAGAGTTCTTGTATTTGTGTGCCTCATTGAAATATGTAAGATTCATGCATATTTGGGGATTTGGTTTCAATGCCTTTCAGCACAGCACAATTTTTATTTGAAGAATTTGGTGGTATGAAGGTCCTTATGATTAAAGCTTCATTGTTAGTCTGGTTCTTGGATTTGGAAGAAACCTCAACAGTTTGAAGAAGAGACTATGTTTAAATTCATTTTGAATTATTATTAAGTAAACAAACCTCAGATTTATTGTCATTTGGTGGAGGTTAATTGACTGAATTTCCCAATCTTCGTTATCACATTTTGATTCTTTGAAATGACCAATTCAAGTTCTAATCAATATTGAGCTAGAAATGTTTTGATTCGCAACCGGTAAAGATTATTTTCTTGAACAGTGCTAGCATGAATTGAAACATAAATTTGCATCTCCTTACTGCAGCAGGAACAGAAATACAGTGGTTAACTTTTGTATTGAGAAATTCAGGCCTCTGCATGTCTCCTAATCTTCTTCTTTAGTTTATCTCTTCAAGTTCTTTTCTCTTCTCCTCTGCTTTAACCTTTCGTTTCTTCACCTTTAAAAGCACAACCCCACAATTGAATAGGTAACAGTACAAAATCAATGCTTGAAAATAACAGCTTTCCAGATTTGATGTAAGAATTAGGAAAAAGGAATTATCAGCCACGTTTTTTAAGATTACTCTTATGTTTCTTAAATCGATGTTTGTTATTGCACTTTTCTGTAAAATTATTAATCTTCTGTATTCCATTTTGAATGTTGAATTTGATAAACATATAACTCTGAAATTTGCCTTCCCTTTTAGAATAGAGTAACTCTAAATTAAATCCAAAATATGTTATTTATATGGATTTCGAGTTTCTTTCCGGATTGTTTAAATGTTATTGCTGATTATGATCAGAGTTCTTGTATTTGTGTGTTTCATTGAAATATATAAGATTCATGCATATTTGGGGATTTGGTTTCATTGCCTTTCACCAGAGCACAATGTTTATTTGGAGAATTTGTCTATATGCAGGTCTTTGTGATTACAAGCTTCATTGTTTTGTTGGTCTGGTTCTTGGATTCGGAGAAAATCTGCATAGTTTGAAGAGACTGTACATGTCAGATTTCTGGTAATTTGTAGGAGATTTAAAGAATGTTCTTTTTGAGCTTTTGCATTTCCTAATCATCTGTATTAGCTAGCTTTTTTAATCTAGAATTGATCACGTTTGCGAAGCTAGTTAAATGATTGCCTTTTGATACACCCAATTCAAATTGACATGTTTTGATTCACCAGTGAAGAAAACTCTTTTGGTATCATTATCGAAACTGAAAGATGAAAGAAATTCTTTACGGGTATTCAACACCTGAGAATTTTCATGAAACACTAATTATAGCAAATAGCAAAGGATATATGGGAAAAGAAATGGATATCTCAAAACTAATGGAGGAGAGGTCTGTTATTATTACAATCAAAGGAAGATCTATCTTTATTCTTCAAAGTTGAAAAGCTTCAATAGCTTTATTAGAAAGGGGTTCTAGATTTATAGGCTAAGGTTCTGTTTGTTATTGCATTAGATAATTCTTTAAGATTATATTTAATACTAATTATTATTTTGCTTGAGATTATAATTATATTATTTTGCTTAAGATTATAATTATATATGTATCGAGAAAAATCAATTCAATACAAAATGATTTCAAATAAATAGAACATTTTCCGTGCATAAACATTTTTGTAGCCTCGGAAAATATTTTCCTGTCCTGATTGGACAAAGAACTGATCCTACTCATAATTTGGCTGCATTTGTTGTACTATTTTTCTACTATCTTATCCTAAAACCTAAAAAATACATTTGTTTTAATATTCTTAAAATCTAATTCTATTTTATTCAATTCAAAACATTAATTAAAAATAACTTAATTTTATTTTCCTTAAAACACTATTGCAAAAAGCATTAGAATACTGAACTAGTCGAGCCTCTAAATTTGAATACTATTGGCTCCGTTTGGTTTAAAATTTTAGGTTTTTTGGAAAAGTTTTTTGAAAAAAGTTAAAAAAAAGTTGAATTGGGCGGGTATTACGATGTAAGAATTATAAATTAATAAAATACCCTTTATGTTTATTTATTTACAGAAACACTCCTATAATAAAACATTAAAAGTTAACAAAAACACTTTCAATCAACCCTCAAATACGGACAGTCAGTCACCACCGTTGGAGGGTGGTTGGAGTCATCGATCTAGCCGGTCGTACGTCAATATGGCTTTTTCTGGTTAGATTCACGATGGATTTGGCCGACAAAGGCCAGATCTATGACGGCCAAATCTGGTCGTATTTGCTCGTCAACGATGGCCAACAAACGGTCGTCGTTGATGGTCAACAACGACCGTTTGTTGGCCGTCGTTACCGACTGTTACGGTCAAAGATCTGGCCGTCAACAGTCACATCTTTGGCGTTAGATCTGGCATTTTCCTGCCAGATCTACCGTGGATCTGGCTGAAAAAGGCTAGATCGGCTCACTACCGGCCAAATTCAGCCGATCGTGCGCCATCCTAACAGATTCCGGCCATTTTTCGGCAGTGGTGGCCGGAATCTGGTAAATGTAGATTACTGGGGTGTTTTTGTAATTTAAAAAAAAAATATTTAGAGGTATTTAATTAAATTATCAAATTTAAAGGGTTTAAAAAAAGTTGAATAATATTGGGAGTAGTATTCCCAAAAATCAGAGTTTTTTAGTATTTTACTGTTTATCTTTTTTGGGAATACTAAAAAGTAGTATTCCCAAAACTGAAACAAACGAAGCCATTATTTTCTTAGATATTATAAGGTTATTTAATAATCTTGATTTTGTTTCAATTATACCCTTAACAAATAAAATTTTAGGATATTATTACTCTTGTTCTTAAAACAGTTTACTCAAAATGCCCCAACTACCTTCTGACAACTGCCGGTATTGCCGCCACCGTTAGTCGCCGGCCAATCATCTCAAGCTAGTAATCCGCGCGTTTCCTCTCTCAGCCAGTAATATGCGCTTATCCAATCATCTCACCCCATCTGCGGTTTGGTATTTCAAAATTCAAATTATAGTACAGAATTTGTTTTGTCAAAGTATAGTAAGTTGTAAAATATATAAGAAAAAGGATGTGATAATAAAATTATGTTAAGAAAAATCATAACAAATTTCTAAATAATTAATTAATGATAATTAATATAAAGGTAAAACTTTTAGTTTTGTAAGATGATTCAGATTTTTAATAACAACCAAATAATTTTTAAATACATATTTTTTTGTCTTATCATATATTAATACCCTTTTTTTTTTTTTTTTTTCTTTTTCATCCCCCAGCACAAAAAAATAAAATAAAATCATAACTTTTAGCTTATGCAATAGCTACACAATTCGTATAATGTTTCCCTATATATCTTTTTCAATAAATAATTTATTTTTGGTACTATCCATAAAAAACTGATATATAATTCATAATTATTTTGAAAAATCTTTCGGCCCACACTCATACATATCAATTCATGCTTGTCTTTAGATTTGGAATTGGAGATTCGGTTAAGAAAAATAAAAAAATTATCTGCAATTGATGAAAGAAGCCAGGCGTCTGATCATATCTTTAGCACTCTGCGTCTCAGGATAAAAGACATGAAAAGCATGATCCTCTCCCTCCACTTCGAACAACTCAACTTCTCCTTCAAACCCACTTTCCTTCACTGCATCAACATACCAAATACCTCTATCTCTTAGCGAATCCTTCCCGGCAACACAAACCAGCAACCTTGAACACCCAAGTTTGGCCAAACTCGGCTTCCCTGGACCAACCGGATTCACCATCTCATTATCAATACCTCCAGACGCTGATGGATAAACAAACTCCCAAACCAAACATGAAAAACTCTTCTCATGATTATCACTAGGCTCTGATCCAATCGGCCTTGAGCCCCAAAAATAAGGATGTGAAAGAATAGCTCCTGCAATCTTTACATCGTTAGGCAAACTCTCCACACCCGCCTGCATAGCTATGTTATGCGCTATATTGCCGCCCGCACTGTCACCACCGATAAAGACTCGATCAAAATCGCCATATTTTAGCAACCACGGCTCTTTGTTGGGATCCTCGGCGATCTTATGGGATGTGACCCATTGAAGAGCTGCCCAGCTGTCTTGATATGCGGCAGGAAGAGGGTGTTCTGGGGCTAGCCGATATTCTACTGAGACTGCAACGACTTGAGATTGAGAGACTAGAGCATTGAGGTATCTGTGGTCGAGGAATGAAAAGGAGGATTCAATGCAAAAGCCACCGCCGTGAAAGTAGACCAAAATGGGGCATTTTTTATCCGATTGGGTGAGCTTCGGGAGGTAAAGGCGAGCTGATATGACAGGGTTATGGGAAATGGTTATGTCTTTTGATGAGACTCCGGTTTCTGGATCTTGGTCAGGTGATGAAGGGACATAAGGTGAGCCTACTGGACGCTCTACGGAGCCATCTTTGTAGACTCTGACCAGTGGAAGGAGCTCCTTGGTAACTTCTTTGACTGTGGAAAGCCATTGAAGAAGATACAGGAAGAGATGATGTGTGAAGTAATTAAGAAGGAGTTAAACGAGAAAGGGCGGTGGGAATTGATCAGAGGAGAGCTACGCACGCAGTCATGTAAAATTTTATTAGAAAATATTGCAAACTTCGAGACCAAGTCAGATTGGTGACGAAATTGGTTTGATTTGATTTGATATGATGAAGAGATAAGTTCTTCATGCATAGTTGATAATAAAAATGAATAGTAGTATACCAATAATTCTCTCCTATACGCTGTCTCTCACAGTCTTGACATGGTGGAGCGGGCCCAAAAGCTTAGTTCTAAAACCCAATCCTAAGATCGGTCCTTGAGAGGACCGGACCTAAGAGGTCTGATCTCGTAAAGAGACGGGCTCGGGTCCTCCATTGGGCCCTCCTCCAAGGCCTGGGCCTGGGTCTAATTTTTTTTATATTTTTTCAATGTAGTCCTTTGTCAAATTACATAAAACTCTCTGTTAATTTTAAAATAAATATAAATTACGAGGGTTAAAATAAAATTTTACAAAATTTATAAAAAGAAAAATCTTCCAGGTCTAAAAAATTTATAAAATTTATAAATTTTATCCCAAAAAAATACTAAAAACCCCCTATAAAATGTCGTTTTGCCCCCAAAATATAAAAAAATTGAGAGGAAAAAATGAAATTATCCAAGGCCCATGGGACCAGTCCAGACCAGGCCTAAGGCCTGGTCCGGGTCCTGGTTTTTCTCATGGGTCCCAGGCCCGCAAGGGACCGGTCCCTTGGTCCCTTGCCCACCTGTATGACATGGTAACTTACAATTAGTCAGTTTACAAAGGGTTTTACATGACCCTACTAATTAATTACAAACTGACCAATTGTGAACTAGCACATCAAGGTTGTAAGAGAAAATTTATGAGAAATGGTTATTGGTGTAGTATTATTCTAATAAAAATATCGAGGGTCAGTTTGGTTAGTTATTTAGAATAGCATTTTTTTAAATATTATTTTTGAAAAATATGATAAAATTATGAGAAGTTTTTAGTATATTTCTTATTAGCATTTTTTGAAAATATTTAGATTATTTTAACTCCTTAGGTTTGTTAATTTAACTAAACACCCCTCATAATAAAAGGTTATAAATTGACAAAAACACCCCCACCCACCTACATATTGCTGGCAGCCAGCCACCACCGTCGGAAGGTAGCCAGAATTTTTCGAAATTGCGGACTACCTACTGGATTTAGATGGTCATACACTGATCTAGCTTTTTTCGACCAGATCTACGACCACATATCTGGCCGTTGATGGCCGAATCTGGTCATTGTTGACGACCATATCTTGCTCGTCGTTTCACCATCATTTAACTGTCAACGACGGTCAACATATGGTTGTCGTTAACAACCAAATCTTTGGTCGTAGATCTGGTCGTTTCTAGCTAGATCCATGGTGGATCTGGCCGGAAACGACCAGATCTATGACCGAAGATTTGGTTGTTGACCACAACTGTGGATTTGGCTAGAAATAGACATATCGGTGCACTACCAGATCAAGCTGATCGTGCGTCCTTACGACGGCGACAGTGGCTGTTGGCGGGTAATAATGGCTTGAGTGGGTGGGGGTGTTTTTGTTAATTTTAAAACTTTTATTGAGAAAAGTAATTGTTAAAGTTTTGAGTTGAATATAATATGATTGAATTTTGAAGAGAATTGAGAATATTAAAACAAATGTGTATTTGGATAGGATTGTGGTATTTGAATAAAACAAACGGATAATACTTTGAATTATTTTTATCAGTAAACGACATTTTCCCACCCAAGGTTTGGTCTAAAGATACTTTGTCACACAAAAAGTTTCAAAACGACACTTTTCACCCAAAGGTCAAATCTGTTAGTAAAATCCATTCTAAAAAAGGGAAGGGTGGTCAAAAATCCATTCTAAAG